AGCGACATCGCTGGACTCAGCACGAGTGGCGCGCGGCTTGTAGGTCATCGACTCAAGCATCTGGGTGGCACAGATGACCGGCTTGCCGACAAGGTTGCACCGCGAGATGGCCATCTTCTGCGCGAGAAAGACCTTCTCCGGTGGAATCTCTATGCCCAAGTCACCACGAGCCACCATCACGCCATCTGCAGCCTGGACGATCTCATCGAAACTGAATGGTGAGGCAGAGAACAGAGGGTATTCCTTGAAGGCTTCCGAGGATAAACTTTACTGTACTGGAAGTTGCAGGGTCCGGAAATAAAAGTAGTTTCTAGGAGCATACGGCTACAACTTTACCGCATCAGCTCATCACGGACAGAATGTCTGATCGCCCTAAGTACTATCACTAACAATAGCCAATGACACTTCGGTAAAATGAAGGAAAACCATCACTACGCTAAGTCGGTGGCAGCAGCAGAAGCACTAGTTACAGAGATTGATCTTGATTTAGCAGAAATTAAACACTGGGAAACTTGCTTTCGTCTGTGCTGATATGGCGTGAACGAAGCGACACAACAGAATATTCAACATAGAAAAGCTAGTGGTGTCTGCCCGGTGGTCCAAGTTCCGGTCGACAGCATACAATAGTAACTCCACCAGCCTGGTGTGACATCCAAGTGATTTTACTGACAATATCGTCAAACTGGAGTTATGAGAGAGGAGGAAACCTACTTTTTAACACCCTGGTGGTTTTCAATCTTAGCGATAATTTTGATGTGAGAGCCCTTCTCGCCAAGGAATTCACGAATTTCCTGCACTCCGGTTCGGTTGCGAATAAAGGAGGCGAAGATGATGTCCAACTGAAAGAGGAAAGACAAATCCTCAGCTACTAAATAATTACATATGGACACACACACGTAGCGCAATACTGGGTACCCACATTGCCTCTTGACATCTCACATGGATTCACGCATTAGCTGGCTTTGAGCTCGATGTAGACCTAGATAACAAGTATTCTGTGCAGTAAACAACATTTTTTTCCACAGTATTTTTTTCTTAGGCGAAAACAGAGTCGCCACACAGTCACAAAGGTTTCAATTCCAGTGGTTTTAGGGCTCCCCAATTAAGAAACTCAATTGTACACTGCAAAATGAATGCAGGGCCGAATGTGGATTATCCTGAACTATGTCACCGCGACATCCGTTTGAGGCCGGAAATCAACTTTATGTAGCCAACTTTGCTCCTATAAAGCCAGTGAAATTGAAATGAAGGGGAATACACCAGAGCTGCAGAAAATCACTTAAATTCGTACCACAAAGTACAAATTCTTTTGAGTTGAATGATTATAAACCCGACTGTGGATTTCAGAGACCGAACCTATAGAGAGGATTTAAGCCAGTCAAATCCAATTGAGAGTGGATACATCAATACCCACATTATTGTCGACGGCAAATTGCAGGTCCTCCTTGTCTTTTTCTGACATTGAGGGTAGATCAACAGGTGCACCGGGCAGATTGACGCCTTTGCGAGAGCCCAACTTGCCGCCGTTCTCAATGACGCAGTCCAGGTAGTCGGGACCTAAAAAACAAAAACTGAGTGACGTTTCACTCATTTCAGTACGCTAACACACAAGAACTGGGACTTGAGAATCAGACGACACGTTCAGGCTCAAATTGGCAATCTATCAAGCCCAGAGCTGTGAGAGGCACTTAAGTCTTTTTATCCAACAGCTGGCAGCCTACTTAAGAGCGCAATAATGGGAGAGGGTTAACCCCGAGAAAGATGATGTGAAGAAGTTACAATCTAATTCAAAGGTTTGTAAAACGTGAAAACATTATTAAGAGACAGGGCATTCTGATTTCCACAAAGTGTTGGGAAAAACGTACCCTTATTTTGTACCACGAGGCAGATGAGACCGTCGTCGATGAAGACCTTGGAACCCTCATGAAGGACGTGAACAATGCGATCGTAGTCGACGTAGACCACATTCTTGCTGCACTTATTCTCAAACTCCTTGTTAGGCGTCAAGCGAATCTTTTCGCCGAACTCCAAAGTCACCTCACGAGTACCGCACTGCAGAAAGGACAGTTTGGAATAAGTTACAGCAACCCCAAAAGAAAGCTGAAGGCGAGCTAAAGTTTAATCGAATGAGACCGATCAGTACTTAATACAACAGTAACAATATCTATGTGTTTCTAGTCTTCTTATTCAATATAGATTCTGGAATATTGCAGTGAGTGTATGTCAATAAGGGCCGATAATGAGCGTATTTAGAAACCTATGTAACAAAACGCTGAACGCCGGAATGAATATAGTGTTAAAACCCGGGAAGACTATGAATCATTCCTGGCAATTTCTGTGCGAATGCCAACGAATAAGGTAGGAAAAGTGGCTAAACGCATTCGGACGTCAAACAGCAGCATCGAGGGTGACCAGAGATGGATAATCTACGTGACAAAGGCGAACGACACTTCATACTTGTTGACAAAAATAAATCGCAAAGAAAGCCCCAAAAAGTTGCGCCTTAACACCAAAGTTAATATAAAAATACAACGCCGAACGGTAACTAGGAAAACGGAATGCATTACCTTGAGCTGCAGCTCCAGCAAAAGGGCACTGGTGGGAACGCATAAATGCGCTAGGAAAATGAAATTTTATCGAAAAGGGGTTAACAAACCAAACTACAATTAATAATATGCACACAAAAGGGACAAATTTTGATAGGAACTCATCTTGCTGCAACGTGCGTGTGCGGTGCATGAGGGAAGTGAAAATAATGCTGACTCTACCTTCGGTATCAACACAAAAGCTGCTCGCAATAGATGCCGGCTGATTGGGTCGGTAAAAAGTGAGGATAGTAATAAAACTTTAGTTAAGCTGATGAAGAAGTAAAGCCATCCGCTCAAGGAGGCAACCTGAGTGTTAGCCACGCTGATAGAAAACTTACTCCGTCGATGAGACCAGTACGAATTTCAGGTCCCTTAGTGTCGAGAGCGATTGCTACGGGACGGAAAAAGGGCCTGAAAGTTTCCACAGCCTGACGGACCAGTCTAATGGTCTCTAGATGGTACTCGTGAGTGCCGTGGGAGAAGTTCAGGCGGGCAATATTCATACCCGCAGTCATCATTTTTTGCAGAGTCTCCACACTACGGCATGCCGGTCCTAGATAAATTGAGAGATAAATATTGTGAAATTTTGCATATTTTGAACCAGGAAATCGATTTAGAAGAAAAAATTGAGGTTCTGACTTGCAGAAGATGTTTTAGTTTGAGTAAGCCCATCAAAACAGTGCTAATGCTGCATCACAAATAAAAAATGTTTTTCCTTTAATTCTTTTTAAAAAGAAAACTTACCGATAGTGCAGATGATGCTGGTGTTGCGGATGGCATAGGGCTCACGATCAATGTCAAGATTGCAGATGTGTTCAAGGAGAGAACGTGCGACCTCTTGTCTTGTATGAATACCAGATATGGAGCTACCAAACAACTTGATTTCGGAGTTCACATTCACGTTATGTTTAGAAATGCCTTGCATTGTGGACCTAAAGGGGGTTAATGAAACTAGCAGCAATCGTCAAGAAAGCACATTCCCAATTCGCCCATAAAACCTACAGACGATCTCAAATTAAGGCTCGAACACCACGAATACAGAAATCCAATTACTTGACGTCTATCAAATAAAGCGGGCCACCAACACACCAATAAGCAAAACAAATCTCGGGAATGCAGACAGATCCAATTACTGTATGTATTATAAGACGCTTTTAATGTTGACCTAGGGGGCAGTGTTATAATGAGTAATTATAATGGGTGAAAAGTATAAACCGATATGAGCCATCAATCAAGAAGCGAAGCACTTCCATCAAAATTGCATCTCAATCTTAAAAAATCAGGAGAGGGAATGATAATACGTAGATGGGAATGATGCCCAACTCACGACTGTGAAACGCGCTAGACCTGGGCGGATTTGTATTCCGCGCGTTGACCTTCCCAAATAGCTAAACTGAGTAGTGAATTTGAACGATAATGATTCCTAGTAAATTTGTACCTAAAAATTAGATGAAAGATAGCTATTTTTTAACAGAAACCTTGTTTGCTAAAAGGGGTGGTTTTGAAAGTTAAACAACATGTGGGAAGACAAAGTTAGTTTCCAAAATTAGTCTGTGAATTATAATACACTGAATAAATAATAAAACGTGTGTTAAAAATTTGTTTTATTTTTTAAATGTACCATTTTTACCAGGATGACTGAAAATAAGCATAAAAGTATCTGCCAAACTAAGGCAGGACTAAAGTCAATCCTGAAGTAGTAGTACGTCAAACCACCGTAAGGAATATGCACCACGTGCGTGGGCAGAAAAATACGTGTATTTAAAAATGGTAAAGCACCGCTTTGAGTTCCTCCTGAAGTTGCAAGATGTCATAAAGCGCAGCAGAGATAGTGTTATTGACGTACAGAAAAGCTGAGGCTACTACCGCGGCCCGGATGCTATGCCGGCAGGATGAAGCACAGTCAGCGGAGACTTGAGTGTCTGCGTAATCGAACGTAGGGCTGAGCAAGCTATGAAAGCCTTGCACATATATTAAGCCACTAAGCCGATTGCTATGCTACAAATATGCAAAAATGCTACTAAGATTTAGTCGACTAAATGGTTCTTTATCATACTGTAGCGTCCAGGGACTCCCTGAAGACGAAAGAAGACACGATACTCGGGGAGAATACATGTATTCAGCATAAGAAGGTGTCTGGGCTATTGGCACGGCCTGAAAGGCCAGCCCACCCAGCGAGGTACAAGGGGGCTAATTCACAGTACAAAAGTGGCGCCTCACCAATGCCGAGGGATAAACCACTATCGTATTACAATACATCCAATTGTGTTCTAAAATGAATTTCCGACCCTCCCTTCTACTCCTGGTTTTCTACCCTTAGAACGAGAACATTAGATGGAGTACAGCTTTTATTCAAGGCTAAGGTGAAAGTTTACAGATTATTGGGGGCTAAAGAGGATTAAGTTTCGGATCGTCATCATGGGTCGATGGCTGGTGTAAACTGACAGTTTGTCTCCCAAAAGCTGGATTAAACAAACATGTATTAAAGTTAGGCTGTAAAAGGTAGTGACACATACGGAATACTATTCCACCCATGAAGGATTAATACCACTTGTAATCACAAGGAGAATTAAAACTAAGTTTGCTATTAGAAGCCCAATCATTTACAAAGCGTTTTAATTAACTTTCCTTGCGTCGACCGTCACATCGTAGCCGGTGCATTAAAAGTGTGCGTAAGATAGGGTCCATGATCACCCTTTGATTTCCCACGAAAAGTAGAATACATTCGACCTCATCGACAATGATACATAACAGCAGTTCTGATAAATCGAGAGTCACCTAATTTAAAGTTCTCCAATGAGGACCTTTCGGTGCCAATCGCAATTCAAAAGGGGATATACACCTACGATCACTAACTGTAGTACAATCGTTAAAGTACCATTTTCAAATGACACAAGCGTGGCGTCCCTTCAGCTGTTAAAATTCTTCTTAAAAACACCAGGTGGGGCTATTGTCCGAAGTACATTCGACCTAGGTACCTCTTCTGCTCTGAGCAGTAGCGTGTTTATCCATCCAAAAGCACAAATGCCCTCCTCTAAACTGCTTATCCAGCCAATGGTAGTAGAACTGTCAAGCTTCTGGACTGGATTAGATGACCGCTGCCATTAATGCAGCGACCCAAGTCGTTCAAAAGGGCTGCAGAGCTACTGGCATGGCCCTGCTTTAGGGCCAGCCTCCTTACGACCAGCGGTGGACATGTACGACGGTGTGCGCATTCCCTCATCACCCAATGCAGTTCCTAAACAGGATGGAGCTCCAGATCCAGTGTAATTGTCAAGAGGGATCAGTGACGTTGCAGTCGAATATCTTCTCAGGTGTGCGCATATCCGATGACATTTACGATTTGTCCATAGATGTTTCCTTACAGCACCGACTACGTTGTGATGGCCGACGGTAGGAGGTTGACTAAGAGGAGCAATGGAAACGATGGTCAAAAGAGATAAGGGCTATACAATACTTATATTATTTGGCTAGTTCTTCCTCTGGTTTCGTGAGTACGTAAGGCTTGGCCTTTGCACTTCCGCTGGGCTGTATCGCCTCCGGATCATGCCAGTTGCTCTCCAACCCTTCTGAAAACTCAGAGCACTACAAGACAATCCATTTCTCATCACACTTCAGTCAGCCAGCCAGCCAGGAACCAAGTTAAAATTCACGGTGGAAGAAGTAAAGAACAAATTGACAATCTTTGAAACTTGCCCTGCACTTTTTATGCTTGGGACACGACACCATCTGTACAGCTTCCACCACAAACCAGGTCCTACGCCTTTGATCCCCGAGGTGACCTCAATTTATAAAACGGGCAAGCTCAAGTAGCATCTATCAGGGTGGTTTAACCAACATCTTGGTATTTGAGCTTAAAAATATCAGAAAAGTAGCAAAGGTCACAATGAAGTCAATCAGACCGACGGAGAACCGAGTGGAGTTTTGATTAACTCACAGCTGATAGAAATACGAGTGCCATCCATTAAGTAACCGTTACCCTCCAAAAAATTGGTTGAAAGTTCCTACCTTATTGCCTTGGGAACAAGGATTCTTGTTACAAAACACAAATATCACAATGGCAAAGTGGCTTGAAGCATGGGAACCATGTCAAGCAGCACTTTCTACAAGAAAGGAAAGAACACGAATATGATGATAATTCCCTTTAAAAAGAACTTAATTAAGAGGCGTACTGGGACGAAATGAGCATTGGTGATGGTAGGAATAATCGTTTCTCAGCGTACAGGTAGGCACAGTGAGAACAATCTCTCCTAGTCCTACTATGCTTCCACCTTTCCAACTCAAAATGCCAACCTTATCAAAGACAACGTCGCCCTACATCACAAGCAGTACCATCTTTAAAGTGACATAGATCTCGCGCAATAAGGTTAATAAATATGAGAATTGATGGACTGACTAAGCCAACAATTTAAATGAGCCGGTGTAGCCACTTGAGTCGTTCCTGAAAGCGAAAGAAGTCACAACACCGTGGCAGAAAATGTATTCCCAATGGAAAGGAAGACTGTGCAGCTAAAGGTGTGTCCCAGAGGCCATGGCTCTCAGCGGCAGGACAAAGGCGGAGTCTTAAGTCTATGAAACCAAAACGAAGAGTTAAACAAATAAGCAAAGTACTACGTTGTCCCCTTTCGTTGTTTGAGCGACGTCTTCGGAGCTATCCTTGGTCAACAGCCCTCGTCGGCTGTTATAATGTAGTCGGTGCTGTAAGAGAAACACCCACGAACCAAACGCGCCAGTCATCTCATTTGCGTTGAAAGGAAAAGACATTTGGCCGTAATGTTACTGATCTCACTTGACATTTTCGCTGGATCTGGAGTTTTGTTCGGTTTGGGACCTGTATTGTCGGTAGGGGTAATATCCTGGCCACGACGGATATTTGCCGCCTAAAAACAGTCATTTGATAAAGGGTGGTGTTTGGAACAGAATCTTGGGAATAAGGTTTTAAGTCACAATACTAGGACAGAAAGTGTATTGCCGACGTACAGGCCATGCTGCTTAGCGGAAGCATAAAGGTGAGGTCTTAAATCCCAGCGGAACCAAATCGGAGAGCTAAACAAATAACCAAAGTATTGCATCATCTCAGGGAAACAACTGCAGATGTAACGACAATGCCTAAAGCGCTAATAGCATCATAAAAATTATAGAAATTGAACCTTTACAGCTCCTGCGGATCCGATATATACTACTTGGCTTAGTAAGTAACACCGGTTTCCAGACATGGGAAGAGAGGCTTCAAAACATTAAGCGCCTGCCCTGTTACAATTGGAACCATTGTTTCGCGATATTTTGAGGTGTTTGGTTATGCTTTAACCTGAGACTAAGAAAAATTCAAACTTTCTGTTTAAAGGGATGCAAAATCGAGGTTTCTTAAAAGATGGGCCACTAATTACCAATCCGTTCAAATGATGAGAAAAAAGATGAAAATTAGTCTCGCGAAACAGATTGCTTCGGGTTTTCCTAGCTCGGTGCAGTATTCCTGGACATAGAATGCGCGAAGGGTGTTAGTAGAATGGTGACGTCAAGGTGCACCTCTTCTATCAGACCTCAGTATGAAGCATTAAAGCAAATACTTATAATTTGCAAACAAGGCTCTTCTTTTACGAAGCCTTGGATATTATTATCCAAAATCTCATTAAATTTAAAACTGCGTTTTTCGCGCATTCTTACGAGAAATCAAGTCTCTGGAAAATTTATTTACAGAAGTTTGGCTGCACTTAGAGTCCCGAATGGTCGAAAGATATTTTAGCTTTGACACCACTCGACCCAAGACTCATGGCTGTATCTCGCGCGATCTTGAGCTGGCAAAGAGATTTTTTGAGCTTGGGAAATTCTCCCATCTCGAATACATTAACAATTGGCTACGATACAACGCAACACTTTGGTTGCTTGGTTAACTTTCCGATCTGGCTTCACGGGCTCTTAAGGCTCCACCATTGTATATCCGCTGGGCATCCTGGCCCATGAGACATGCCAGTAGTTCCTCCCAGCCCTTCTGTACGTCGGCAATACGCATTCTACACTAGTATTATGACGACCTCAGTCTAGGAAAGTCTCGCAACTACCTTGATTTCCATTCCTAAATGCCGAAACCTAGCGTAACAGAGAGATTGGGGAATCTGTGACAACCTGCGGCAAATACAGCGTTTGGGGAATGCACTTAACAACTTAAGCGACACTAGACATGACCGTGAACCATCAGAAAGAGCTCATTACGGAGCTGTTCACGGTACCTGCATGGAGGGTTCGGTTAAGTAAAAATGCGATACCTCCTTTACCTCTGTACTACGTGGATAGAACCCGCATATGTCTGGGCAGCACTAAAGCGAGGAAAAGGTGGCGAGAGGGAATAGACGCACAGCTACACCCGCCGGGCTAGGTTAAACCCCGTCCCTTGCTGCGACTGCGTTTAGGCCGTGATGACCGACACCTTGCCCCGTCACCATAGTGCAGTTCCCACGTAAGATGAAAATTCGGGTTCTGTAGAATTGCCAAGAGAAATCAGTGACGTTGCAGTCAAGAATCTTCTCAATTGCATAGAAATTCAATGACTGGCGCGGTTGGCTTGTGAATGTTTGTCTTGTAGCACCGACTACCTTGTAACGCTGACGAGTGTGGTTGACCAAGGGGAGCGCCGGGGACGATGCTCAAAATAGGACAGTGTCTAGGCAATGCGGTGCTTGTTTGTTTAACGCTTCGTTTTGGTTTCACGAGCACTTAAGGCTCCGTCTTTGCACTTCTGCTGGGCATACCAATAGCCTCAGTCGCCCTGTATGTCGGCAATACTTATTCTGCTCTGGTACTATGACTCATCTCTGCCTCAAAACCGACTCGGGGCGGGGTGCTACAACAAAGCACCCCCCATTTGAGTTGTTTGACACCATCGGTTAGATGTTCCATTAACACCCATAACTTACAACCCTTTTCTGTTACGCGACTGAAACCATCCAGCCATTCTACCGAACTTCTTCCTCCATTCTTGTGACGAATATACAAACATATATTGTCCAAAAGACGAATTACGATCACGTAGAATTATCAGAACATGATTTGCGGCTTTTACGTAGTGCCCCAAATCATCCCCGCCGGCGAACGAAGACATATATATTGCCGACGCACAGAAGGGCTAGGAGGCTACTGGTATTGTTGTAAGGCAATGCCGCCCAGCAGAAGTACAGCCTACGGAGATTAAGGACTCGCAAAACCAAAACAAAGAATTAAATGATTCACCAGTGTACATTTATTGACCACCTACACTATAGTAACTAAATACCGGATCAGAAACTAACTGCCAAGATGACAACTGATTAACTGATCGAAATTGTTACACTAGAACAATCATAACCGCATTAAAAGGCAAGTCACGCGCGCTCGATATAATCAAGATAGTAGCAGTGGAACTTCCCGTATTCACTCCACACAAAATTCACAAAATACTGACACCTCGACAAGGCTTCTGATAGGTCAAGTGATTCAATAAACCAGTTTTAAGAACCTAAATAACTATGGAACATTGAAAGTCACTCACCAACACCTCCCCAACCGTAGTATCGTCAGAGCGTACTCGTCCACACTCTTGAAATGCGCGATCGTCCAAACACCGCTGACATACCCGACTTCGAAGGGGGTGGGATCTAACCCCACCAACCACACAGACTTACTAAGCGGTGACCCTCCTCGATAGTCCTAGCTTGAGAATCCAACCTCGGGACGAGGCTCATTCTGACACTTTAATGACAAATGTCGTTGCTAGTACATAACACAATATAAAAAAGTAGGTGTAAACGCAGCCGCATGGACAAATAAGAGGGAAAGGGGGGAAACAGGATCCCCTTCCCTCTCCATACTTCGTCGCAAACGGTAATCTGCGTTCACAAAGAAAGACTGATGTGCATCACGAGTTATGTAACAGCTTCTGCAAATACAGTCTACACAGGGGGCTCATCGAGCAGGGGGATACAGACAGGAAGAGGACAGAGGGAGAAGGAACAGGGGTTGAGACAAATGCAGCGATCAGGATCTCTCCCTGAAGCACCGTTCGGTGGCACACAAGACTTGGTCCTGCCAATGCTTCGATTTCATAGAACAGTGCGCACGTACACACACTGACTAGTGTAACAAAAAAATAAGACTTTGGGGGAAATAATAGCAAAGCCATTGAGCACACAGGTATTTTAACAGAGGAGGAAGGTTGGGAATAATATACAAGAGTCGGTTGTTCGTTATTTACCGCCCTTCCAAACAAATTTCATTTTAAAAGGTTTCTGGGTAGGCTGAGCGACAGCCGCCTGCACTGACGGATTAGCGGTGTTGTTGGGACTAGCTGCAGATACAAGTGTTGGAGGTACCTGGGACAGTTGTCGAGATTTTTGTTGTGACGGCTGCTGCCGTTGTGGTTGTTGATAAACCTGTTGCAATTGCACCAGCTGCTGCTGTGTCTGTAACCGAGGCTGAAAAACGCCTTGGACGGGAAGATTGTTTACATAGTAGCCGTTGTCCTGGCTGACCCAATTAATCCTTCCTGCACGTGGAGCAGTAACCCTAGTGGAAGGAGGACGCGACGGTTGGAAGCCTCGTGGACTAGCGAACCTCTGTGGAGAGTTTGATTGCTGCGATGACGGTGCGTTGATGGAGGTGAAAACGCGCTGAGGTACTATATTACGTGCCTGTGAAATCGGCTGACACTGGAAAGCGGCCTCAAGTCGGGATTGGGCACGAGAGGCCAGTGGGAATCGACTCAGAGGCTGATGAAGGGCAGTGAAAGACATACGAGGAGAAAGAAAGGTGGGAGCGTTGGAAGAAGCGACACCGGTTGTGATGGTACTTGCGGTGGCATTCCCAAAATTGCGCACAGGGTTACGCGTCATGGCGGCAGCATTAGTGTTAGTGGCGTTAGCAACGGAGAACCTTACGGAAGGCTTCCCAATCACGATAGGTGGCTGTCCTGTGGATTTTATGATTGGAGGAGGCAGAGAAGATCGCGAGAGACTTCTAACTTGATGAATTGGTTGGGAAAGGCCAGAAGGCAAGGGCGCCGGCCGGAGGTGAATGTCATCTGGATTTGACTGAAGGATATTAAGGCAGTCAAGGACGGCTTCTACACCATCCTGAGGGATGAGTACGCCCACAATTCGCTTTCCATCCTTAGGCTTCAAGCGCACCACCTGCATCGGTGGAGAATTACCGGCCTGATTCGTCAATACTCGCTCTACGTGCGTCCATACGTTCATGACAGATCCGCTGAGGACGTAATAGGTGCGCTCCCGGAGACCGACCTCACAAATGCCTGACCGTCCCTAGAACCACAGCAAAAAGGACCTCTGATTCACTGCCCATGCACGTTAAACACACTAACCCAGCCCTCAATTCCAATCTATCTGAAACTAATTTTAGGCAGTAGTATGTAGCATGACAGTACAGTAATAGCTAGATACAATTTGTAGCACTTTAGGCTGAGTTAGAAGCTGTAAAAGTTGGGCAAAAAGTAGCATATTTCCAATCGACAAAATACGCGTAATGCCAAAAAAGATGGCAAGGGCTTACGAACCTGAGGATTGCGTACGCTAACGCGATTGCAATGATTGCGTTGAATGAGATGGATGCACCTGGTAGCAGACTCGTCATAGATGGTGGACCAATGTTCCTGGCAGTCGGTAGGATTGGAAACCTTGACATACTGCTCTGTCAGTTTGCCGTACTCCATAGGCTCAGACTGCATCCCCGTGTTTGGTCTATACACCCGATAAAGACGCTTCATCTTCCGCCTCTCTCTGTCCCCCACATCCCCGGCCTTGTTGCGCAGGCAGAAGGCCAGCAAAGGCATCACTCTTGACACAGTGGACTGCTTCGGAAGGTAAAAACCGTCCTCATCACCATCGTGCTGCGCGTAAAGCTCCATGGCGGAGGCCCAGCTGACACCTCGTTGGGTGGTGACTTTGTGTAGGCACACCTGGGTGGAATCGGAGAGGAAGCGCGTGTCGAATTTTCGGGTCCAAACAATCTCCAAGTTCTGGCCAGTAGTACCTGCAAGAAAACAGCAATAATTAGTATTATTTACCCAGAGGCAAAAAGTCAGCAGAGGCTGCCCTTCCCTACCTAAATCCATAATGCCTAAGTCCAGGCGATTGCCGCGTTTCGCTCGTCGCACAAGTTCTTCCAGTGTATCAGAGAAGTACTGGAAGAAGGCGTTTTGGGTATGTACGTGGAGACCAAGGATGCGATTGAGAAACTTTACCATGTGACGACTGTCTTTGTCGCGCGTTCGCCCATTGAGAAATCCTACACCTTGCAAGCCCGATTTAACGTCGGATAGAAACTGGTGGTAGGGGCGCAATGTCGGTGGAAGGGGCTCCAGAGTTTTTGCATCTGCTACGATGGGATCTTCTGAACGATAATCCGCTGGCGGTTTGATAATTCCCTCCTCCCCCCAGATGCACGTCTTGAGGACGATATCGAGGGCCTCACGACCAAGCTTTGTGTCAATGTTAAAACGAGAGAGATCTCGAGTCTCCGTAGCTCGACGATCGCCGTGGGTTAGAGCCCCTAGAGATTCGAGACGCTTGGCCACAGTTGATGCAAAGCGTTGTTCTCCTGCCAGATCGGAGATGAGGAAGATATATTCTGGCGAGCTGACCTGATTGGAGCGATGGGTACGACCAAACTGTTGAATAGCACGATCGGCAGACCAGGGAAGTTCAAGGGTTATGTGAACACGACGTCGTTGATTCTTCGCACGTCGATCAGCCTGGAGCGAGATACCAGAGGAGGCGGCCTCCGAAACTATGGCGATCAACTTCTCCCCATCCATAAACCGTTGCTTTTCCATCAGATTGATAGTCTCCATCGCACAATCACCCTCACGTCGAGATTCATAGAGAGCACGACCAGAGTCGTTCATGACCACACGACCGCGACGACCAGTCATTTCGGCCACTCTCGATGGACCGCCCAGCTTTTCAATCAACTCATCCAAGGACGAGGGAGGAAGGTACCTGCCAATTCTTTCAATATGTCCCAAAAGAAGTTCCTTCATTCCATCGCATTTTTTTCGCGCCTCCTCCAAAGAGACGCTGCCATTAGAGGCGAGCATCCCATCTGGCGACTTGGAGTCTAGGAAATACTTGGCGGAGAGGTTACGCGTCGACTCATCGGCCCAGAGGGAGTCATTTTGCCTTATTGCCCTCTCCCTCTGACGGGCAAAGAAGGTGTCGCACATGGCATCATAGTCCATATCGTCGTCATCGGAGTCCGCCGCAGCATCACTCTCGTAGACCTGCTTGCGCTTACTTGAGGCGCCGATTCGCGATTTTTTCGTTCGTTTCACGCCACCGCGACAATTATTACTTATCTCGAGGTCGGAATCATAATATTCTGATGAACTGTCACCGCCGTTGGCTTTCGACTGATTATCCGATTCATTTCCCCATTCATCATCATTGTCGTCATCCTCATCAGAAACGGCATCGTCCGAGTCGTCCTTTTTGGTGCCCGTAGCAACACTTCCCGGGTTGCCCCTATCTGAATCATCATCGTCGTACCCGGTGAGAGATCCACCAGCAATCAGTTTGGCGAAAGCTTTTTCACCGAGGATATCTTTCAAGCCGAGTCCACTACCCTTGCCGCCAGCAACAGCTCTACCAGCTCGAGTAAGAGTTGTCGAAGACGAACGATCACCAGCAATGGTCAATTTTTCACCACGGGCTGTGAAACTTTCCAAATTTGATGCTGTGGGGAAATACCTCTCGACCAACGATTGTAGAACGCCCCTGAAGCAAAGGGTCAATGACTTTTGGACGCATAAATATGGACAAAGGAAATCGAAAATCAACTGGAGAGGACTAAGTAACGCACTTAGCAGTAGATACAAATTCCCCCAGATCTGTTCCAAATTCCTCCACTTGTTCAAGTGTTTTCGCTTCACCAGTTGATTGAAGACCAATGACCACGCACTGTAAGGTGAAACCAGGAATTTGTCAGAAGAATTCAACAAAAATAATCAGGGAATGACGGGAGATCACCTTCTCGGCGTTAAGCGCCATTTTGCACAATTCAACACAGGCATCAACCTTAGCGGCTATGCAGAGGTACTTGAAGAAACGTTGATGCGCAGACCAGAATTGGCCCCACATGGTTTTGCGGTATTTGTCCGATGCGTTGATTAGTCGGGCGGCTTCCGAGAAGTACTCGTAAGCGCAAACCCACTAAATGAGACATGGAATCTCAATGGAATCCAGGCTGCTTTATACAGCACCATGGAAAAATGAAGTGAAAACGGAACTAACCAAGTCGGCAGATTGGTTATATACATTAACGAAGGACTGGCCGTTCAACAGCACATATTCAATCTCGACGGGTCTGATCGTGAATTTGACACCATGGAAGCTTAACTGACGTGCTATATACATTCCTCTAAGCTTCATATCCATAGCGACAAGCTCCATGCCACCAACACCCCGACGTTCAATGAATTGAATAAAGGAGTTGAAATCCTTGAATGGAGTGCCCTTGCCCCAAAGACCGAGTCGCGTCATGTAAGCCATGTTTCGCGGCTCTGTTGCGCCCGTAGCCGAGGCGTAGACGATTCGCGCATTTGGTAAGCGGTTTTGCAGTTCCAACACAGTCAAACCCGTTTTGGTGGGCTTCTGTGAACCACTGGGAGTAAGATTTTTGGCTCGATGGCACTCATCGAAGACAATCTAAGCGGAAGACCAAAAATAGTAATATTAACGATAGGTGGTAGGAGTACAGTAAGAAATACACTCACAACACCGTCAAAATCCTTGCCACACCAGTGAACAATTTGCTTGAGACGCGTTTTATACTTTGCCTTTGCGCCACCCTGACTTTCGCCAATTAGGGAGGAGTAGGTGGAAAAGAGCACCCCCTTCTTCACGCTCCCGTTCACCTTGCCAGAAATCTTTGCATATCGAAACTGCAGGACAATGGAAGTCATCAGTACAAACGCGACTGACACGCAACAACCAAGCAAAAGCAGGCCAGCAACCCACCTTATTGAGAGAGTGAACTTCAAGTTTCGTGAGGCCGACATCACGGAGATCACGCTCGGCGTCAACACGCAAATCGTTTGAAACTGATAACCAAATGGCCTTCTTCCGATGCTGCATGTAATTTTCGTAGATAATGGCAGCAATGGTTCTACCTTTACCAACACCAGCACCGTCACCTATGAAAGGCAATTTATGATTCTGACTGCATATTCCAATTTCGGGCATTAAGTCGCCTTCACGAGATTCGTGACTCATTGATAGGTCTAATCCCCTCCCCCCATGATGTGTCGCGAATTCACACAAATCAGCCTGTCAGCCCACCGACCCAATAGAGCACAAACAAAAAGAAGCTAAATTGCCACGAATAATGTGACGCACAAGCGTTAGAGCTGAAGTTAATGGATGAAACTTTACCAATTAAGAAACCAGCTCGCTGCCCATTTGGGAGAATGCATTCGTGACGTTGACTTGCATAGACGACGGCCTCCAATTGGAGTGCCGAGAGCCGACCACTGTCAATGACTTCACGGGGGAGGCGAAGATTGTAGTGGATGTCCGGTGGGGAGACGCTAGAAAGAGTGCTGGACTCAACTATGGGGTCTGGATGTCTGCAGCCGAGATGAACTGGGGAATAAAAACCATAAAATTTGTTAGACTCAGTTTAGTTCAACATCACTGGCATAGGTCACGCTTCACATCGTTTCACACTGGGGAATGGCGTAAAGCAAAGCAACACCGCAATAAACGCATGCACAGGTATCTAACAGAGTATCTGACTCTAAACTGCCGAAAACGTTGACCTACTACGTGTCGGCCCAGGAAAGTCAATATCAGTATTGCACGACGTACACTCGCCTTTTACCAAACGGCGCAAAATGACACGTGCCTGATGCAATAAACTGATCAAAATAACTCACGCTTAGCAGGTACATAATCGGCGTACGTCTCCGCCTGTGCTAAATCGTCGGAATCATCCTCCTCGATCTCCTCATCTCTCTGAATTAGAAAACCCTTGTTAATGTTTTGTTTGGAACTAAATTATAAGTCCACATCCAATAAAAAGGGTCAAAAGATCCATCCGAGAATCAAGTTCGCTTGGGCACAGCAAAAAAACAAGTCATTATTGGGGAATGGACCAATGTGAATGGAAATAAGTGAATATGAACTCATTCACCTTCTGAGAGAGGAAATTGAGGGGGTAGTTCATTGGGATCCGTTGAGGACCCAATGTCTGAGTTCTGAATTTCATGTCAGATACGGTCTCGATTTTAACTGGTCCGCTGCTAGGAGCGTCACCGCGGCGGATAAATTTTACAGGGGGAAAAGTGGCTGGCTCAGCACTTGGCCTCTTTCGAATTATAGTAGGAGCACGAGAAACCTTGGAGAGTTGAATGAGGCGACTAGCAACTCCAGAGATGGTAGGAACCCTCAGTTGAGTGTTGGTAACCGAGGGTATTTGGACCAATGGATTTCCCGTCTGATTAATAACCGTGTAGATTTGTGTTGGTGCAACAGTGGTAACTGGGTTGGGAACATCTGAGGGTGTAATACCGGCGCTCTTGAGAGCTTTTGAAATGATATCCAGTCCATAATCCTCCTGATTACTATCTGATTCGGCAGGTTTAACGTCAGCCACAATAGCAGAGTCCGGTGAGACCTGTTCAGTGACTGGCATTGACAGTGAATCATCCTTCGCCGTGAGACCTTGGAGTGCTATCTCGAACGCATCAGCCGGTTCCATGTCCTACATATGACACTAAAACGAACCCAAAGACCATGCAAACAAGCATTCCCGAAGTGAAAAATAAACCAGGGCCTAAATGATTAAAGGAGCATATCTGGAAGATGACCATCGCGTCCCGAAGCGTTATGCCTAATAGGCTGCCACAACCCTATCTGTGACCGTGGATGCGCCATTTGACTCTAGGAAGTTTGCCAATAATAAATATCACGGGTACAATTTAAAAAAGACCAATCGCTAGTGTGTACGATTCACCAAGACTTCCCAACCTTAACAACACCAGAGCGCACTGTAGTCCGAACAACGTGATCAATCAGCGCAACCGACTTGCGTACGCCACCCGACCTACCAGCTGGAAAACCAACAGTCTCAATATGGCGTTCAACGAATCGACGTGGCGCATTTAAACAAGGGTAAAACAGCATCCTATAAAACCATTTTTAATGAAAAAAACCTTTTTATAGCAATTTATATTTTGTGCTTTATTTTTGCCATCGTTTAATGTCGCATTTTATAATTAATCTAAGAACTTTAATTTGATACCATTAACCTTTTTACTTTATATTAAAACAAGCTTAAAATATTTTGGCTGAAAAACAGTTTGACTACTTTTTTAACAGACATTTTTGCGACTTATTTTTTGCGATGATAAGGTAAAAAATTGCTCAGCAATGATAAAAATGACCTCTGAATAAAGCAATTACTTAGCTTTTAAATGAGGACTGGTTCAAAGTAATCATGCTCTATCAAGTTCTTCAAAACTATTAGTTTGATAGCTCTATCTTTTCTTGATTGGTTTGCTAACGCATGCGGATTTGGCCAGCTTTTATTGGCTACCTTTCACGTGCTTTAATTCACCCTTGAACTTTTTGGTCGGTGGCCATCTCAACCTCTTGCAGATGGATAACTTAGTCCATTTTACAAAAGGCATCTTTACGGACAACCCTTATTTCAGTGCAGGTGCTGGTTTATTTGGTGTGGGTATGGGTGTGGCTCTATTACGTCGATGCGGTCAAGTTGCCTCTGTTCTGCTTCGTCGAAATCTGACATTGACAATGGAAATAGCCAGCCACGACAGCTCCTATCAATGGGTCATGCATTGGCTCTCGAAGCGGGCCCGCTGTACAAGAGACAGCAGGTTACAAAAAGGCGCTGGGCAGCATTTCAGCGTCGAAACAAGTGTCGTGCGCACTGAGGCTGGTCGAATTAAAGCAGCATTTGAGTTTATACCGAGCACCGGTGTTCACTACTTGTTTTACCAAGGCCGTATTTTACGCGTGGAGCGTATCAGATCGCAACAGACGCTTCAGGGTGCTTCTGTTGCTCCCTTTGAAAGTGTTACTCTCACCACACTGGGCTTCGATACACAGATTTTCAGGGATATTCTTGAGGAGGCTAGATGTGCCGCTATCGCGAAGGATAAGGGATGGACTGTCATTTACAAGGTGGCCTCAATTGTCCGCCCTTACTTACATTTGCTAGGCCTTCGGATCCGAGTGGCGCCAATTTGGATATCCACGTCCCCGACGTCCGCTTAATTCGGTCGTCCTGGGCGAAGGCGTAGCTGAATCCATTACAGCGGATATAAAGGAGTTTATCAGTGAGCGAATGTTAACCCGTCATATAAAACCCTTCAGGCAGCCCCGATTGGTATTCCGCTCGAGGTATACCCTACCGTCGTGGCTATCTTCTTTATGGTCCACCAGGCTGTGGGAAAAGCAGCTTTATAACTGCCCTTGCTGGTATCGGTGTCAATTTTCTTCTTTAACATTGTAAACTCAGGCCACCTCGAGTACAACATCTGTGTGCTCAATCTCAGTGATCTGGGGATGTCGGCCGATAGGTTGGACCACCTTCTAACCCACGCACCTCTTCAATCGATCATCCTCCTTGAAGACATCGATGCCGCCCTGCCTAGTCGCGAAGAGCCCATTAATCTGGCTCAGCGATGTAAATGCAAAATCTCTACTTACATCGTGTTGCAGATGGTCGTGCCTATGAGGGCATGCAGGGCCTCACTATGAGTGGTCTACTCAACGCCCTCGATGGCGTGGCCTCAACTGACGGTCGAATCCTCTTCATGACTACAAACTACGTTGACCGGTAAGCCTCGGTTTTGACATTTTTCCCTTCTCTATCAAGCCTGGATCCAGCTTTGGTGAGACCAGGACGAGTGGACTTCAAGGCAGAGATAGGGCTGTGTACTGAGGACCAACTCTCCCGCATGTTTTCGCGTTTCTATCCTGAAAAGGAAGTTGTAGAGGAATCTCTGGCAGTGTCTTTTGCTGCGGCATTGGGTGGGGGCTTGGTGAGTGCAGCGCAGGTTCAGGGCTTTCTTTTGGTGCACAAGTCATCGCCTCAAAGTGCCATGGATGCTCTGCCTGAGTTCAGGGAGAAGTGCCTCCTACACCGGGATAAATCATAGCCAACTCGGATAGGCCGCCCAGGACCTATCTGTTTATTGGAATTCTCGGGTTGTCTTCTTTGAGCTACTGAGGATTGCCACTGCTTTAGTTGTACAGACTGCGTCTATTTGATACATAGATGCAGACTCTTGAACTGAATAATCTGTTTTGGAGAATTGCTCAATAAACTTACTCATGTAATGAGTGTATAAAGTGGGCCAATTGAAGAGGGTCATTCTTTACCGATATTTTTTCTGGCAATGCTCTTTACTTTCTGTCTATGTTCCGATTGATCCTAATGTGTTTGGAGACTTGTACTGCAATGTGGGTGATGGAAAACAGCTTTTAGTTATATTGTCAGGACTCAGTAGCGTAGGTCTCACATTTGGACTTGTTCTGGTCGTCTGTCCAGTGAGAGCTTTTTCTACGTGACATTAACAGTAATATACCTTGAGATAAGGCATTAAAAAACCCTTTTTTCTGGAAATTTGTTGATGGCCAAGCTCAATAAGGCACTTGTTACTTCCCACATTACGTTACATGTTTGACAGGCAATTAGTGATGTAAGTCGAGTTGAAGTATGGGAAGTAAGTTGTCTTAACTTTGTTTGTTGCGAAATAGATCAAATGTGAGGTTTCAATTCCCGTCCATTTAAGGGTATGAGTTTATGGTTGCATCTAGGAATAAGAAGACCGCATTCTTTACTCGGTTTTGAGTTCTCATCATCCGGGAGGTTTGTATCTATCTTATAGTTGGATGGTCGAAAGAAGGTGTACGTAACCTAATTCTTCGTGTGTTAATGAGTTCGCCAAATTTGCATAGCTTTTTATAACCTTTGCGAAGGCTCAGGATTCTGCACCTATTTTGCAGTTGTTTAAACTTCCTAGGGGTTCGCCGGAGCACAACTCTGATACGTCGATTGTTTGTTCAACCCTCAGTTTTGGTAAGGGGGCCACTTAAGTGCTCCATCATTGTACCCTTGTCCGGTGGACTGGCCTCTGGGCCATGCCAATAGCCCAAGCCCTACTATGTGTTGACAATGCATATTTTGACCGAGTATTACGCCTTCTTTCGTCTTGAGAGAAGTGTCGGGGCGCCACCTTGGTAGTATCGAAAAGCGAATATGATCAAAAAGGACATCTATCCTGATTTCTACTACTAAGTGATAAATCTTAATGAGGTGGAAGAAGTGCATATTCTGCAGATGGGAGAATCGGTGTCGCTCCCCAAAAGGAGTACTAACAGAGACGTCTATATTTGGTAAATTTACCTCTCCCGCGTTCTGCTGGAAAGCTATTAACAGCAAAAGCGACCCTAGCCATGAACCATCTGGATAGGTTTCGTTAAGGAGTTGTCTACCGTTCCTGTATAAAGATGTCGATTATGTGAACACACGAGACCTCCTCCACCACCCTTCTACTGGCTCTGTTGAACCCAGACAGATGTGGCTAGGCAGTACTGAAGTGAGAACAAAGTGAAAAGGAGGAATAGACGTGAAACCTTACATCCACAAAATAATGTTAACCCCCGTCCTTTGTTACATAATCGCCTTTAGGTCAGTATTCCTACGACTAGCTGTAAACGCATGACGGCTAACATTTCCTTATTTCCGAATCCTCTTTCCATACAGGATGAAACTTTCGATCCAGTAGATTTGCCAAGAGGGATCAGTGACTTTGCTAGGTGTTATGTTATCTTTCTGGTGAAATGAATCTCTCATTCAACCCGTTGTCCTTCCACTTTTTTGACGCCGAATGGTGTCTAATAACTGTGCCATAATGTGCTGGGGCTTCAAGAGAAGATACCACCCTAATTTAGCTGGCTAGCTAGTTGTGACTGAATAATAAAGTCTAGGTACGGGAAGTTATCCATCATTTGGCGCTTGTCTTCGCTCCGCGAAGCTGAGACAAAACCAGGGTTCGAAGACTCAACTGTAGGATATTGTTCAGCCTGACGCTCTGTATTTTCCTAGGCGGAAGTCTCCTGTTGCTCCACTCTCATTTACATGGAAGCCTCTTCCTTTACTTCGAAGATATATTCTATTCCCAGTGTTTGAAAGATCCTTAACATCAAAGTAGTAGAGTGGGGGACTAGGGGGAACTGAGTGTTCAGGTGAGTATATAGGTAATGTAACCGTCTGAAAGTCTTTAAGTCTGTTTTTTTTATTCCCATCCTTTCCTTCATTGATGTCTTGGTTCCTTTCATTTCTCTGTAGCTCCGTATCCTCTACGGTAGCGTAGATCGCAGGTCATGCCCCCTACTTCATCGTTTTTCCAGCTTCCTGTGCGAATAAACATACCCAGTATCCGGGTTTGTGCGTATTTTAATGTTGTTAACGAAAAATCAGTGGTAGATTTCACTCCACTTTACCTCCAGCCAAAGGTAGGACCACTCTCATTGATGCTTCTGAGAAGGGTGGTTAGTATGATGGGGGAGGTATCTGCTTCGGTGGTAGAAGTTGGGGGGGCTCATGACTAAGAAGGTTATAAAACTTCGCCAACTGCCTCACAACTAATCTGGTAGACGCTTCCGTAGAACTACATTAATGTGTAGATTTTTTACGGTATAACTTCCTCCAGCCCTAATATTAATAATACCCAGGT